GTGTGTGTGTGTGTGTGTGTGCGTGTATGCTCAATTCAATACAGCATGGATCTTGTAACCTATACAGATCCCATTTAGGGATATGCTTACCTCATCAACCTGGGCCTGTGTCTGTTGTAGCCGCTTATTAGTTCCCTGTGATGGCTTCAGGGGCACCTCACCTTCTTCTACGTCCGCCCTGCAAAGCAAAAACACCACAAATATTACACACGTGATAATAACCAGAAACCAACAAGGAGTGAACGATAAATGATGCCCACTTCCAAATATCACTTTAAAATGTCAAAAGTCAACCACACTAGACAAGATCATATTTGGTAGTATTTCAACTGTCAATTAAAAATGTGATAAAAAGTTCTGATTCTCATATTACTTCTTATAAATTATTCCTTAAATAATAACTTTTTGGCTAATTATTTTACTAATAAACAAGATTATCCTTTATCAAGCAGTGTTACATTGATAAAAATACAAGCATTTCATGTTACAAGGTATTACAAAATAATTGCAAGGGGGATTTGTACCATTTGACAACCCTACTAAAGTGGATAATAACTGCAATTCCAGCTGGAATCCACCATTTACTGGTGCAACATGTTAAATTTCCTTATGCCGGCTGTTATACTTGATTTTGCTTTTTTACAGAATACTGATAGAATTCTAGTGCCATTGGTGGTCAACCCCAGCACATTTATATTATTATTAACGTGTAGGCCTACATTTGTTAGTGTGTCAATTATCACTGCATTATTCACTACAGACTAGTGGTATCTAAGAATAATGTCATACTACTAGTACTATTAAATATTAGTATACAGTATTAGTATTACTAATACTATTTAGTAGTATTACTATTATTACATAGTCCGACTGTACTACCGTACCGTATCGTAACCGTGGGCTACGCACAAAACTATCCAGATCCAGATCCAGACTACTGACACAGTGATTTGCCAGAAATTGGGCCATCATCAAACATTGAAATTCACATTCACAACATGAAAAACTGAGTGAGGCAAGTAGTTTTCAAGTTGCTTAACCACAATGAATATTTTTTATTACGGTTCATAATCAATAATTCTATCTAACTAATTAGAACACACATTAGTTGTATTCACTACACTCAACTCTGACAACTGAACTAGGCAACTAAAGTACATCGGGTATGGCCACAGGCACTTGGAACATCTCAATAAAAAAAATAATGGTAAATAAACACGAAATGTATTTACTACCAAAGTCTTAATGTTTCTCTACTCTATTTCGCCTATTATTGCCGATAATTACCCGTAAATGCCGGTCAAATGCTCATCTGCAACACACAAGTACGCCGCACGCACGCCTTGTGCACAAACAGCATGGATAAGAGAGCAGGTAGGAAAGCGTGATCGCAAACTTCGCTCGACGCTCACTTCATTTCACACGACAACAGACCAAAAACACATCCAACAGCTTCCATCTTGCTATCTATGTGTAGCTAAATGTTCACTTGCTCGAATTATAACTGTCCTTTGTTCTTATCTACTCCTGCCAGAGATATCTCATAAAATCCTGCAGAAAATGTTCTCTCCGTGAAAATGTAAACCGGACGCATCATCCGAACATCACCAACGGCGCTACTCGATCTTTCGACCAATCACTGTAGTCATGTACGTCATGCGCGCGCGTATTATGCTTGGCTTGGTGGGCCTCGAAACGGAGCTCGGAGGCAGGCAGAAGCTCATCCCGGCATGCAATGCGCCCAATTACTCGTGTATAAACAGACATCTCGTCCAGTTTACATTTTTACGGAGAGAACATTTCCTCCAGGGTTTCACAAGATATCTCTGGCGGGAGTAGGTAAGAACAAAGGACAGAGTTACAATTTGAACAAGTGAACATTTAGCTACACATAGATACCAATATGGAGGCTGTTTCTTGTCTTTTCATTCTGTAATCGTGTGAAATGAAGCAAGCGTCGAGCGAATTTTGCAATCACGCTTTCCTACCTGCTCTCTTATTCATGTTGTTGGTGCACAGGGCGTGCGTGCGGTGTACTTGTGTGTTGCGGATGAGCATTTGACCGGCATTTACGGGCAATTATCGGCAATAATAGGTGAAATAGAGTAGAGAAACATTAAGAATTTGGTAGTAAATACATTTCGTGTTTATTTACCATTATTTTTTTTATTGAGACGTTCCAAGTGCCTGTGGCCGTGTGGGTAGGCCTATGGCAGCCGCACTTGGCTTGCAGCCTGTCTGGGTTACCGGACACAACTTGAAGTATTACAACACAGTGAACACATCCAAGCATTTATACTAGCATGTATGTCTCTTGACACCTAAACAAACTACTGAGATGTAACCTATACTCACATGATTAATGTGCACACAACAAAAAACGTAAATTGCCTAAAATAAAGCTAAATGTTTCAATAAATCGCTGCGAAAACAAAATGACAGTGATGATATCATTCATCCGGGACTTTTCGCAGTGGCGTCATCGTTCGGGAAATACGATCACTTATCATCAGTACCGCTTGAGGGCGCATCAGTCGGGCGATGGAGGGAGGATGCGGGATTTAACCTCATTTATCATTTGTATTTATCTCAAGTATTTGCGTTTTATATACATTATTTGTAAACGCAATTGTCTATATGTGCAGCTTTGATAAGCTTCATGTAGGTATTAATATTATTATTATTACCCTAATGCGATTTAGAATTGTGTAGACTAATGTAATGATGTCATTGATGATCCAGCACTGGGCCCCCTGGGCCCTAGTCTGCAGCGCCAGCAGGCACACAGTCTCACTCTCAGGCTCAGGCACTTGAAGCGTTTCAATTAAATATAATGCTAACTAAATACGAAATCTATTTACTACCAAATTCTTAATGTTTTTATACTCTCTTTCACTTATTAGTTATTATTGCCGACAGTTTCCTGTCAATTTCGTCCAAATCCTACGTGCAACCATTGCCATTGGCATATACGCTGCCGGCGCCATTGCTCTCGCGGCTCCACTGTTGCACGCTTACAAGTTACACTAATATATATTATAAGTCGCGTTCACACGGGCATGGTTTGGCTCGAGCCAAATGGGCTAGATTTGGCTCGGGCCTGTTTGAGGCCGACGTTCACACGCTACGCAAGTGAATATACTGTCTGTCAACATTCAAATTCAAATAAATTTTATTGCACAAATATCTCACAGTCACAGATACTTTGGCAGTATGTCGCGAGATGCGCGTTGTGTGTACAATTCAGAGTGTTACTTACGTTCCGAGTTTCAATTATCAATCTTGAAACGGGCATCACTGAATCAGAAATTTTTCGAATTTTTATAATGTTTTGGACTTTATTTCGTCGAAAATACACTGCTTCGCACTCGCGGCAGTCTACCGCTGCCAACCGATTCTAGCGCCTCCACACGTTCGCCGAAAGCTGGTTGCTAAAATTTGCCTCGGGCCTTGGTCCGACAGTTTTCGATGGACCAAATCCTGGCACGGCTAATCAGTGCTCGGGCCCAAAAACGTCCGTGTCACCGTGAACGCTCGGCCCTCGAGCCAAATCTGCACCAGCCGTCCTAATTAGGCTCGCGCCCAAAATACGTCCGTTAGTGAAACGCCGCCGTATGTAGGTGGTAGGAACAGGCGGCGATCGCCCAAATAATTCGCCTCGATGCCTCGCTGGATTTCACATTCACAGGCCACGAATACACTCCACGCAGCTGCCATCTTTGTTGTCTATGTCAAGAACATTGTTCACTTGTTATAAAAACATACTGATCTCTGTTCTAACCGAGCTGTGTTCACGCGAAATCAACACAAAGACTGACGAAATTCTCGCGTTTCGCAACCTTGCCCTGTAATGTAAATGCTGTCAGAATCAGGAAACACCTACCGCGCCTCTTCGTGACCTCATTCTTGCGCCGCAACGCTGGAATGTTTTTGCAACTTTCCAATGCAAGCTCGTACGGGCAGTTGAAAGGCACGCGCCTGCGCGCCGCCTGCGCGCCGCCTATAGTCCATAGACTGGCACTCGCTCCCACTTCTCGGCTTAGCTTAGTCACTCTATGGGTAATCGAGGTGGGAGCGAGTCCCAGTCTATATAGCCCTGATTCTGACAGCCATTTACATTACGGGGCAAGGTTCGCGAACGCAAGAATTTCGTCAGTCTTTGTGTGATTTCGCGTGACACAGCTTGGTTACGAACAGAGACAGTATGTTTTTATAACAAGTGAACACTGTTCTTGACATAGAAACAAAGATGGCAGCTGTTGGATGTGTATTCGTGCTGTGAAAGTGTGAAATCCAGCGAGCGTCGAGCAAATTTTGTGATCCCGCTTTCCTACCTGCTTATATATTAGTGTAAGCGTGCAACAGTGGGGCTGCGCGAGCAATGGCGCCGGCAGCGTATATGGTTGCACGTAGGATTTGGACGGAATTGACAGGAAACTGTCGGCAATAATAGGTGAAAGAGAGTATAGAAACATTAAGAATTTGGTAGTAAATAGATTTCGTATTTAGTTAGCATTATATTTTATTGAAACGCTTCAAGTGCTTGTGAGCAGGCACTAGTCACTGGTACCACTGCCACTGGCACTACTACACTTCGCCATCGATTCAATTCTTTACTGTACAATTTACAGTAAGGACAACCAAGTGGCCCTGCAGCATGTTCTATACTCATGTTGAACAATGGGCCTTAACTTGAGGCATGTATGTCCTTCAATCCTTACAAATGCAAAATTCTATGCATTAGGGGGCCTACCCAGTCTACTGCAGCATTTTGACCCTACATTACAGACAATTGGTACCGCTTAGATCACTAGCTCTGGCTAGTGAACAGCTTGGGGTAGTTTCAGATCTTGAATAGGTCCTTTTGCCAAGGCCCTGGAAAATTTATTGCCAATTTTATGTAGCCTCTTATAAATTTTTGATTTCCTCCTTCAATAGCACAAGGTCAGCAAACATGTATGAAGCGAATAGCAGTGAGACGAAGCCGCTGGTAGCTAATGCCCAACAAGGCGATGAGTCGCAGTCCGAAGATGACATCACAAGATACCGACTAGAGGTAAGCTACTCAGTATAATCCTCTTTTTATTGTAAATCATTGTTTACAATTAGCCGACAACATCTGCTGGCTCCCACCCATTTCATTCCATCACTCAACTCGTCGATTGATTAATAGCATCGTCGTAAACACGGCTACACTCTAGAGTGTTGATATGTTCATGATGTTACGTACTACATTTACCAGAGTTGTATCACTCAAGAGAGTATACTACTAATAGGTTCAAGTTCATGCATTTAGATTTAGGGACTCCTCTTAGAAGCAGAAAGAAGAAGAAGAAGATGAAGAAGACAAAGAAAAACGTATATATGCATTCTGTGACGTCTAAATTGTAATCTAATTCTGCAGGGTTCTTCGGTAATAGATGGGCTCAAGCGAGGACCGGGGGAGGAGAGCAGGATCAGTCTGGCAGATGCTAGAGCAGAAGCAAATATGGCCCATCTCACATCGTACGACTTATTTTCTGAGTTCTTTCTCTCGCTCTCTCTCTCTCTCTCTCTCTCTCATTGAAAGCTGTTAAAATTCATGTTGTCAAATATTGGGTTGATTTCCCATAGTTTTGTGCATAAGCATATATGTGAAACCTTGCAGGCTTTATATACATATTGATTGAAGTAATTGTAATTTATTCATTATATGTAGTGCATCACATACATGTGTGTTTTTGAAGATGTGTCATATTTTCGTTAAAGTAGTGGTCGTTAAATTCCATCATAAATATGCATGCACTTGTGTTCATTTACAGGAATTTGGGAACGATGGTACATCTGTTCAAGGGGAACATAGGAACTGGATTATTGGCTATGCCATTTGCAATCCGGAGTGCGGGCCTTTTGGTTTGTTGCTGAAGATTTATATTGTCGTAGAATCTTTCTGAGTAATTGCTAGCCATTATAGGTGATGTTACATTTAAAGGTAGATTCCCTCGAACTTTCAAGCGGCAAACATAAAATCAGGCAACAATTAATTATTTTAACATTGCACGCTTGTACTTTCCTATATATTTGTGATAGGTGAAAAGAAATTGCTCAGGAATACGTTCATTCAAAGCTTTTAGACTACAAAAGTGAAACGTTCGGGTCGAATGTTTCAAACGCGTTTACCTTTGCCGCTATGCGGCGATTGTTCCGCTCCGCGCACTTGCCGTGTTATGTATGTATGAACCATGCTATGTAAAATTATACACACTGGTATATGTTATGACCCAATGGTTTTTCTGGTCATGTACATGACTAGCTGATAGGGAAAGGGCAACGTTTTTGTTGCTGGGAGATTATAGTATTCTGAGCGAGTTAACAAGTGAGTGAGTCGAGAGTCCTGTCAGGTCGTATAGGGTCTATGTCCCCCAGGGTACTGCCGGAACGTACCCTGGGTACGGTACGGTATACGGAACGTACCGCGGTCACTATTTGATATGGTTAGGGTTAGGATTAGGGTTAGGGTTAGGGAGTAGGCGTAGGCGACTCCCTAGACTCGTTAGTGAGTAGGCGAGGTACGGTACGGCATATTAGATAGTACCAGTTTACGTTCCGGTATACCGGACCGCACCCAGGGTACGTTCCGGCAGTACCCCGGGGGACATAGACCTTCTCAGCGTTAGTTCGGATTACGTTTTGTTGGGTTTTTAGCACGTTCTATCTCGAAACGGTTACGGTAAAAATTCTGAAATTAATAACATAAACAGTCGAGGTGCCTCTCTGTCTAAACTACAAAGTTTGATTTCAAAAAATGATTATATTAAAAGTTATGACATCTGAAAGTGGCTACATTGACTCGATTGAAATGATGGTTGATCAAAATATAAACAATATGCGCGCCTACGGAACCGCGGCGAAAAGCGTTTTTCGAGTTGTTTCTTCGATGAGTAAATATAGACTTGATACATCTTTTTACAGTTTTGTTTCCAAGCTAACGTTCAGTTGAAGTGTAGTGAGTTATTTACTTACGTTTTTACAGTGGTTTGTTACAAAAATTACGTGGAAAGTTCCGAGGGAAGAGGTTTGTGAGGTGTGACTGTTTCCTCTTCTTAAATTATGATATTTACATTTGAACAGGCTGGAACAATAGGCCTCGCATTAATGGGAATCGTCGCAATTCACTGCATGCATATCCTGGTGAATGCCAGTCAACATCTGTGCGAAAAGTAAGAGATTTCTTAAGCATTCCTCAAATATTTTTTTATAGTTGTGTGACAAGCACTGAATGAGTCACAATTATACTATGCCACATCTTAGATAAATAATGGTTGGAAAGTGTCTCATGTGGATATCTATTGCACACAAGTGACCGCTTTTACTGCTGTTTTTTAGGACACAGAACCTGTCGTTAGACTATGGTGAAGTAGTGGAGTTGGCATTCAGAGTAGGACCGAAGAAGCTGCAACGTTTGGCTAATATAGCACGGTATTATTGGTTTTGACTTCTAGGCCAATGTGTTACCACCTTGATGTGTGTCTCAATTTCAGATAATAACTGTAAGAAGTAGTTGTTCTCTCACTAGTCTCATCCTACACTGCTTCGCTACATAGAACGTTTATACTGCTTGTGTTGTCGAGACTTAGGGTGTGCCGTCGTCGTTTTTCAGGAGCGTGATCAACTTGTTTCTCTGCATAACACAAATAGGATTCTGCTGCGTCTACTTTGTCTTTATCTCGCAGAGTATCGAGCAGGTACGTATATGAAAGGTAACAGAGGGTCGATGTCAGCATTGATATTACCAATGCGTGCACTTAGGAAGTCAGAATTATATTCCTCATTGCCTCGTAGGCAAAAATGTGATCACTGGGAATAATATCATAACAGTAGAAAATTGATCATGTAATAACAAAAGTAATTTTATAATGTGATTAACAATGTAAACATGCATATGTAAACCATTCATACCTAGCCACTTTTAAAACTCGTACGGCGTTTTCTTCATAACAGGTAGTCAGACCAAATTGGTGATCCTGCTGATCATACAAATGATAGGGTCTACATGGCCATCCTGCTGCCGTTCATCATCATCCTGACGTTTGTGCGAAAGTTGAAGCACGCTGCCTTCTCCTTGTTTGCGAAATGTCGTGTTGGCGGCTGGACTTGTCATGATCATGATCGATCTCTTCCAGGTGTGTTGCTATATCATATCTAGCCTCGCTAAGAGAAAGAGTAAGAGGGAAACAGAATGATAGGGAGAGAAAGTGACATAGATAGGAGTGTGATAGAGAGTGAGTAGAGAAGAGAGCAGAGAGCAAAAACGAGAGACAGAGAGTGGGGAGAGATATGGGAGAGATAAGGTGCTGGTTTGAGGAAGACACGACGAGGAGAGAGTTGGTCTTTTCTAATTTACCGGCAGATCTGTTTTTAGCCTCATCTGACATAGTCAGATGCAGCTTGTAGAATCGCATGAGCGTGCGTCGTCCGTCCGCCGTTCTTGAGCTTATTCGTCGCACAATCACTGGCCTACAGTAAAAACCCGCGTATAAGAACATAGATTTTTCCAAGTTAGCCTCAACATGTTCTTATATAAATGGTGCTTACTGAAAAATTAGGCTCAAAAGGTTCTTAAAATAGGTTCTTAATTGTTTCTACTTTTAATATGTACTAGCTGAAACGCCGCGCTACGCGCGGGCTTAGTGACTGTGATGCATGTGTTACCAGTACAGTAGTGTTATGTTGTAAGGTGTTATAATGGAGAGTTTAGTTGTTGCACATGTTGTGTTTTTTATGGTTGAGATAATATTATATGATATATATAATAATATTATATAATATTATATTATTAATAGATAGGATTGTTATTGTTGAGCATTGGCATTGGCATTGGCATTGGCATTTGTTATTGCAACCAATATTGTTGAGCTTCGTCTTTTTATTTTACCTGTGTTTCTTTAAGTCTTCATCTGCATGGAAAATTAAGAACCTACTTTAAAAATCTTAGCCTAAAACAGGTTCTTATGTAAAGGGGTCTAAATGGGAAATTTTAGCCTAACATGTTCTTAAATCTATTGTTCTTATACGCGGGTTTTTACTGTACCTTGTATGAAATTTTTACAGATTATTTGCTATCCGTATTGGCTGTAAATTGTAATCTTGCACGAGCTGCTCTGGTTGTACCAACCATTGAGCTATTTTTTAAGCGAGCGCAGATGTGGCTCGTAAGGGGTTTAATGTAGCCTTATTACCTGACACCATAGAACGCACGTTATATGTATAGTAATAATATGGTAATGTATTCGCTCCTGCTTTTTGCAATCCGTCGTCAAGACTGACAGCTGCCATTGATAGCGGCCCGCCATTATCGAAATTTTATTACACTAGTTTGAAGTGTTGTTTTTTTTGGGTTAGAAATGACGTATGTATAGGACGTCTTGCTATGCACAAATGAATTTATCAGCAGAACACCGACACCAGATGAGCTGTCGCTCTGTGGCACTTGTTTGTGCTAGTGTATACGTATATGGTATTATTGTTTGTTGCAAAGACGTTTTTAGGCTCATCTGACGAAGTGATGCAGCTTGTAGAATCGCATGATTGTCCGTGCGTTCGTCCGTCCGTCCGTGCGTCAACAGTTGTGGCACAAATCTTAACCGCTCGACGTAACCGGTCACGATATTCGGGACGTCGTGGGGGGGGGGGGGAGATCGTAAAAAGAATCAGGATGACAAATTTGGGGGTCAAGGGTCAAAAGTCAAGATGAGTAAACGGAAGGAGGAATATTTCCCCCTTAACTGTAAGGTATAGGGATGAATACGGAATTGCGGCAGCAAAATCTTAACGGCTGGACCTAGCTCTTAATATTCGGTGTTATAGTGTGATGAGCAGGAAAACCCATCAGCACGTGGCGAAATTGGAGGTCCACAGGGTCAAAGGGCAGTGGGAGAAGAGGTCAGATATCAGGGCCATTTTCCTAGAGGACAATGCGCTAATGGACAGAGTGAAAAAACATTTTTTGGTTTCAGCGCTGACCTACATTTTTATCACTTTATTGAAAAGGGAACCATGAAATCTGTGCTTTCCACTTGACATGGCGAAGAGTAAGAGGTCGCATAACTTTTTGACCCTCAGAGGAGGGTTAAACAGGATTTGTTTGACTCGGTTAACAAAGGACTGAAAACGCTTTTGCTTATTGTGGGAATGGAGGCTAAAAGTTGCACAGTTCAATTGCCAAAGGCAAATGTTTGTGTTGAACAAGGGTTTACGCTACCTTAAATCATATTATTTTCTAAAGGCAGTCTGTATTAGCACCCTGTATTAGGCACACTGTAATGAACACCTGAATGGCTCGCGTGAGGTAGGCAAAAACATAACGGGGGCAGCCTCATTACGCATGCTGGGGGTGAACTGGTGGCTATTTTTAATCATAATTATTGCCTGGCAACTGCAATGCAGATGTGTTAAGTGTTACTCAACGCCTGAGACGTAAATTCTCGCCTGCCTGGAATATACTTGGAATTCAGGCAACTCAATGCGAGTGAGGTTATCACACACGAAGGGTGATGCATCTTTTGATTATTGATGACACTTGCAGCGCGCCTCTCGACGGCAAACTGCTTTTGCTCTATTAGAGCCCCTTCGCACCCGCCCCCTACCGCCCCACTCTCCCCCACCATCACGCAGCTACCGCGTCGCTCTCACGCATATCCATGATAATATGTTAATATAGGCGGAAGTCAATTAAAGTACACAAGGCTAATATATCTTTATTACTGTACTACCGGTTATATAGCAAAGCCTAGCTAATCACTAGATTTTAGATCTGTGATTAGTAAGTATCCTAGAATTATATGCCTCTTGAGCCGCGAACGGCGGTGGTGGGATGGGCGCACTTGATTCGCGTCTGCAGTGAGTTTATCAGAAGAATACCCGGCTACAGTGACACGTCAGTTGAGCGCTGTCGCCCTTCTGCGGGGCACTTGTGTTGACGTATTACATCACCACACATCTGCCAACAGAACTACGCACCATGAGTAGCAGAACAATGGTGGGAGACCCTGACTGAATGCCAGCTATTTTTCGAGCTGCAGCCATACTATGCATTTGAAGAATCGGCACGGGTGTTTGCGTGAGTCATTTTTTATTTTGTCGAAAAATTTTTTGATTATTTTACCTATTTTTTAAGGCACGATCTTATTTAGTCCGAAAGTTCAGTTCCTTCTCACGGTTGTCGATTTTTAGATCTTTCGTATCTTCCGGTCTTTGCCGGCAGGTCTGCCGCGGAATACCAAACGATGAAGTCGTCGTCTGCCGAGGACTTTGCTTGGAACTGACGGCGCGTGCTGGAACACGCAGCATGACGTTCGTCGGCGCCATGTACATCAATCGGTCGGCTTCTACGGCTACCTCAGTACGCGGCGACGACGTGCTTGGCAGGCATCACGCTCCACCTTCCCCACAGCCGAGTGAGTGTCGCGCCCAACGAGGCCTAGCCATCGTTCCGGCACGCGGCCGCGAGGGGCAGGTACCGGGCAGGCAGCGAGGTTGGGTACCGCGGGCGGGCAGCACGAAGGGCGTGGTACTGGGCGGGCAGCACAAGCGGGCAGTACCGGGCGCGGGCATCACGAGGGGTGGGTACAGGTGCTGGCACAGTAAGGCGAAAGAGTCACGCGGGCGCGGAGGGTCCCGAGGCCGGGCGGTGCTACGGGGGACGTGGTAAGCACTGGGGGGTCGGGCGAAGCACGAGGGGCGGGTATCTGGCGGCGGGCAGCACGAGCGCGAGCAGGTACCAGGGGGGCAGCACGAGGGTGGGTACAGGTGGCGGCACAGTAAGGGAGGTAGCCGGGCGGGCAGCACGAGGGTGGTGGTACCGGGCCGGGCAAGCACGAGGGGTGGGTACCGGGCGGGCGCAGCGAGGGGCAGGTACCGGGCGGGCAGCGCGAGGGGCAGGTACGGGGCGGGCAGCGCGGGGGCGGATACAGGGGCGGGCAGCGCGGGGGGCGGATACAGGGTCTTCCGAGCCACGTGCTTGTTATTCCGTCATTGGAGGTGTAGTGGATCTTCGCTTGTGTAATTTGTCGTTACGCCGTGCTCTGTTTCGACTCGTCGTTGCGTGTCTGTGTTAGCTTTTTCTAATGCTGTATGCCTTTTATCGTGTTTGTAATTCAGAATCTACATAGCGGTGAAGCTGATGTTTGCTGCTGTCATCTTCATCACGTATGCCCTGCAGTTTTATGTTGCCATGGAGATCATGTGGCCGCCACTGAGAAACAGGATTGCTAACGAAGATAGACATTTGGTCTGGGAACTGATCTTTCGTGTCATTCTGGTATCACTCACGTGTAAGTGTATTCGTGCGTTCTTGCAAATTCACCATAAGCACAAATAAACATGTTGATATTCTACAAAACAGAAAATATCTGTATTCGCATGTTTCTCCACTTTGAGATGGCTTAACGGTTTTTACACAAAGTGCGTGACATTATTATGAACTAAAGGGAATGATGTGCCTGTTAACTTCTTAGACCCTGCATTGCATGCCTACTCTCACTAATCGTTAGTTATCTCTCAAAACCACGTATGCGTTTTCTGTTCTGTTTCCAGTTCTTCTGGCGGTGGCCATCCCAGACCTGAGTCTGTTCATCTCGCTGGTTGGTGCCGCAGCAAGCAGTTCTCTCGCTCTGATTTTCCCTCCGATTCTCGACGTGGTAGCGTTTTGGGATGAGATGAGCAGCCTTCGATTCATTAAGAACTTCCTGATCCTGATCTTTGGACTCGTAGGTTTCATTACCGGCACAGCGGTATCTATACAGCAGATCATACGGACATTTGCATAAAGGGTAGTGCACGAGCAATCTCTAGTGCATGACTCGATAGGTCGTAACGTTTCACTTAGGCCTTTGCCGAACAATGACGGGTTTTACTAGGGACGGGTTCACAAGTGGCCACGTGGCCCTACCATAATCTGATTGGTTTGTAAAGACACGTTACTGCATCAAAATTACGACGATAACTGTAAGGGTCTGCTTGGACTACTAAAATTAAGTTCGTTTTTAATGTTGGGTTACTTGGCCGGCGACTGTAACCAAATCCTAGTGAAAGAGGCTATTGTGGTGTAGAGACACACAAGTGTAAGACTGCTGCTAATGTGATACGCGCATTAAAATTAATTTGAACAGGTCTGATCTGCTACATTTTAGTCACAAGCACACGCGCGTGCACACGCACATGTACGCGCATGTGTGTGTATATATATACATATATTCAAGTATATGCGTGTATCGATAAGGTTCCGTGAAATTTATTAAATGCCAACTTCAGGCAACTAGCAGAGTTAAGATAAACCATGCAATGCTTTTGTATTACAAAAGTGGATGAACATCTTAGGGCTAAACTGACTGAGTGTGTTGGTGTTAGCGGATGCATGATTACAATAGATAGATAACCAAGTCTACTGATTTTGCATGAAAATTTTGTAGTGAAAACTACTACATTTATATGATTCTGTATAATAAATTGATGGTATGCAAACCGTCCATTATTGAAATCCAAGGCCGTAGATGGGTGATATTCTTGAGTCAAGTGACAAACAAGCTGGGTGCTCAATAATCGTTATTTGTAGGCATGTTTCCTTTCATCAGAATTTGTGTATAAATGTCATCAACTGTTCTATAATTATAATGCTGATGCTTGAAAACGAGTGTGCAATTATATTTTTACAAGTCAACAATGTGCAGTGGAAATAGTAAATATTGACTAAAATTGGTGGCATGGAGATTTTAGGTTACCATCACTCACTATTCATAAATACTTTACCTGGCTCCAATATCGCATAATGTTCCATCAAGTATTTGTAGTCCTATGTGATACCAGGAATTATTGCTGTAAATAGCACTGCTTTAACCAGTATGACTGGGCAGAATACGTGTATATTATTTTTACTGTGTTGATAGTGACGCTCATAGGGTCTATGTCCCCCAGGGTACTGCCAGAACGTACCCTAGGTACGGTCCGGTATACCGGAACATACCCTGGTAACTATCTGATATGGTTAGGGTTAGGGAGTAGGCGTAGGCGTAGGTGACATATATGTACCTGAGGTAACTATCTGATATGGTTAGGGTTAGGGAGTAGGCGTAGGCGTAGGCGACTCCCTAGACTCGTTAGTGAAGTAGGCGAGGTACGGTCCGGCATATCAGATAGTACCAGGGTACGTTCCGGCAGTACCATGGGGGACATAGACCCTCTCAGCGATAGTGACAGCTTACGTGAAAATATTGTTAACAGCAACCATTCCCAGTTTATGTATAAATATTTCAAGCTGCTTTCCTCCGAGATCTGAAATTTATCTACTCAAAGTAGTGTTATATGCAAGCTGTTTGTGTATAAAATTATTTTGATCTGGTAGATTCAACACAAAAGCTTCCTTGTTCGAACCTCGCGTCCCACTCTTTTGTGCAGTTATATCGACACTGGCTCTGCGTGACTCGACTTCTCTACGTATAAATCTATGCAAGTACATAGTTAGGGCGTGCAATATATTAAGTAATTAACCAGAAATTAGTATAATTTTGCTAATGACTATAGTCCAATGCTACTAGACTAGACTAGGCGATATTGCTATGCCGTCAGTCCATGCTAAAGTAAATGGCAAAGTAAATAGCAAGACTAACGGTGATGGCGATTTGTTTACATTTTGGCCTAGGCCTAGTTTGTGCTAAATGTGGTGTTTTGATACATTTTATGTGGTAATCAAGAACTGGTAGTGTCTACGAACATTTATGACCAGCTTTTATGTATTAAGTGTAAAAGTTGATATGAAAAACTGCACTTATAACTTTATTTCTATTCATCCTTGCAACAACTAACATCATTCAAAAAATGTAAAATAAACGGTACTAAAATGTTCAATTAACAAAAGCCGCAGAGCGTCTTGGCAATAAATCATGTAAATATTTGCGTTAATTGGAAAAAAATGGTTAAATGGATAAAGGTAAGGTAAAGGTAACAGAAAACAGGTAATATAATCTTCGTTCTGCTTTTTTCTCCTTCATTTTCTTTCCGATGCACTAAATTTAACTGGTCTGCCTACCATTGTTTATCGTTTAGTTGATCTAGCGTGAATGGGGATGCCGCAAACATTTTTGTTGGCAGAAATTTAAAAAAACACAAATAGCATTTCGCAGTTTTATTTATAATTTTTTCAAACATAATACACATAAACATATATTATTTATTTTCCCTATATTATATATTCTATATATAGCTAACACAAATCAAAACAGAAACTGTTTGGGCACCACTTTGTGCAATATACACAAATCACAATGACACCGACCACAGCAACCGAGAGACGCCAGTAAATAGTCTTCTAGACTGTAAATAGTGTTGACGGCAGTTATTGACAGTATTTCAAATCGTCTAGATTTTTGAAAAAGTAACCACCGTAATAACATTCTTATCAAGTGAGTTTGAGGATATATTTAGTAACGTTAGTACCAACTTTTGATGTTAAAAAAATTACAAAAGTAAGGTTACAACTATAACTCTCAGGAGATTCGTGACGTAGACAATTAAAATGGCAAATAACGTAAATGAAGGTCCAACTACTCAACATCCAGCATTTCACTTAACGGCACAGTAGAAAGTTGAACAGCTGATACGAGTTTGTATACAAAATATATTCATGTTATGACACAGCACGCAGTTTGTTTTAATTTTTTAATTTTTTAAGTGACAGTTTATTATCAACAAGTGCCAAGGGTTAGGATTAGGGTTAGGGTTAGGGAGTAGGCGTAGGCGACTCCCTAGACTCGTTAGTGGAGTAGGCGAGGTACGGTACGGCATATTAGATAGTACCAGGTTACGTTCCGGTATACCGGACCGCACCCAGGGTACGTTCCGGCAGTACCCCGGGGGACATAGACCTTCTCAGCGTTAGTTCGGATTACGTTTTGTTGGGTTTTTAGCACGTTCTATCTCGAAACGGTTACGGTAAAAATTCTGAAATTAATAACATAAACAGTCGAGGTGCCTCTCTGTCTAAACTACAAAGTTTGATTTCATAAAATGATTTATATTAAAAGTTATGACATCTGAAAGTGGCTACATTGACTCGATTGAAATGATGGTTGATCAAATATAAACAATATGGCGCCTACGGAACCGCGGCGAAAAGCGTTTTTCGAGTTGTTTCTTCGATGAGTAAATATAGACTTGATACATCTTTTTACAGTTTTGTTTTCAAAGCTAACGTTCAGTTGAAGTGTAGTGAGTTATTTACTTACGTTTTTACAGTGGTTTGTTACAAAAATTTACGTGGAAAGTTCGAGGGAAGAGGTTTGTGAGGTGTGACTGTTTCCTCTTCTAAATTATGATATTTACATTTGAACAGGCTGGAACAATAGGCCTCGCATTAATGGGAATCGTCGCAATTCACTGCATGCATATCCTGGTGAATGCCAGTCAACATCTGTGCGAAAAGTAAGAGATTTCTTAAGCATTCCTCAAATATTTTTTTATAGTTGTGTGACAAGCACTGATGAGTCACAATTATACTATGCACATCTTAGATAAATAATGGTTGGAAAGTGTCTCATGTGGATATCTATTGCACACAAGTGACCGCTTTTATCTGCTGTTTTTTAGGACACAGAACCTGTCGTTAGACTATGGTGAAGTAGTGGAGTTGGCATTCAGAGTAGGACCGAAGAAGCTGCAACGTTTGGCTAATATAGCACGGTATTATTGGTTTTGACTTCTAGCCAAGTGTTTACCACCTTGATGTGTGTCTCAATTTCAGATAATAACTGTAAGAAGTAGTTGTTCTCTCACTAGTCTCATCCTACACTGCTTCGCTACATAGAACGTTTATACTGCTTGTGTTGTCGAGACTTAGGGTGTGCCGTCGTCGTTTTTCAGGAGCGTGATCAACTTGTTTCTCTGCATAACACAAATAGGATTCTGCTGCGTCTACTTTGTCTTTATCTCGCAGAGTATCGAGCAGGTACGTATATGAAAGGTAACAGAGGGTCGATGTCAGCATTGATATTACCAATGCGTGCACTTAGGAAGTCAGAATTATATTCCTCATTGCCTCGTAGGCAAAATGTGATCACTGGGAATAATATCATAACAGTAGAAAATTGATCATGTAATAACAAAAGTAATTTATAATGTGATTAACATGTAAACATGCATATGTAAACCATTCATACCTAGCCACTTTTAAAACTCGATACGGCGTTTTCTTCATAACAGGTAGTCAGACCAAATGGTGATCCTGCTGATCATACAAATGATAGGGTCTACATGGCCATCCTGCTGCCGTTCATCATCATCCTGACGTTTGTGCGAAAGTTGAAGCACCTTGTGCCCTTCTCCTTGTTTGCGAATGTCGTGTTGGCGGCTGGACTTGTCATGATCATGATCGATCTCTTCCAGGTGTGTTGCTATATCATATCTAGCCTCGCTAAGAGAAAGAGTAAGAGGGAAACAGAATGATAGGGAGAGAAAGTGACATAGATAGGAGTGTGATAGAGAGTGAGTAGAGGAAGAGAGCAGAGAGCAAAAACGAGAGACAGAGAGTGGGGAGAGATATGGGGAGATAAGGTGCTGGTTTGAGGAAGACACGACGAGGAGAGAGTTGGTCTTCTTCTAATTTACCGGCAGATCTGTTTTTAGCTCATCTGACATAGTCAGATGCAGCTTGTAGAATCGCATGAGCGTGCGTCCGTCCGTCCGTCCGTTCTTGAGCTTATTCGGTCCACTAATCACTGGCCTACCTTGTACTGAAATTATTTTACAGATATTTTGCTATCGTATTGCTGTAAATTGTAATCTTGCACGAGCTGCTCTGGTTGTACCAACCATTGAGCTATTTTTAACGACGAATGTGCCTCGTAAGGGTTAATGTACCTTATTACCTGACACCATAGAAGCACGTTATATGTATAGTAATAATATGTAATTATTCGCTCCTGCTTTTTGCAATCCGTCGTCAGACTGACAGCTGCCATTGATAGCGGCCCGCCATCTATCGAATTTTATTAACATAGTTGAAGTGTTGTTTTTTTGGGTTAGAAATGAACGTATGTATAGACGTCTTGCTATGCACAAATGAATTTATCAGCAGACACCAGAACAGATGAGCTGTCGCTCTGTGCACTTGTTTGTGCTAGTTATACGTATATGGTATATTTGTTTGTTGCAAGACGTTTTTAGCTCATCTGACGAAGTCGGATGCAGCTTGTAGAATCGATGATTGTCCGTGCGTTCGTCCGTCCGTCCGTGCGTCAACAGTTGGGCACAATCTTAACCGCTCGACGTACGGTCACGATATTCGGGACGTCGGGGGGGGGGAGG